CTATCAACCTACATAAAGGATGTTTTGAAACTTTTGGGGGCTGGACTTTGGTTCTTCCGTGGCTACTGAACTTAGATTAGCTGTGCTTAGTTTGAAGGAAAGGTAAGGAAAGGTAAGAAAATTCACCCTTTCTTTTTCCATCATTTTTTTCAGACCAATAGACAATCGGGATACAATAAGGTGCCATTTGGCAAGTATTTTTTGAAAGATTTTCTGGAAGATCTGATAGCCAAAAGACTAGTGACTTTTTACATAATTATCTTGGCAGCCCAAAGATCATTTGGTTGGAGGCACATTTTTCTGCATGTCTTTCTATGTAAAGACAAAACGAAAAAGGCGAAAAACTCTATTTCTAGCTTCCAGAAATAAGTTTGAATTGAGCTTCTCACATCTTTTTAGGATGCAGTCTTTCGATGAAGCGAAAAACAAACTGCCGAGCTTCATATAGTTTTTGCAGTTTTTGTAGAATTTGCACGGAAAGACATGCCAAACTGAGCTTAATTCAGGTAGTTTTTAATTTGTAGAGTTTGCATTTGCAACGTATAGGTGCCTCACATGCACATTTCAGCGTGTATTGGGAGATGTTGCCAATACACGGTTGGAATGTGTTGTGGGGCGCCAATGTGATTTCGCTTTTGTAATGGGCGCTAAAGCTTCTACCAGGTTAAAGACTGAAAGTTATGTTCAAAATGTTGTTGGTGCCTTAGAGGATCTCAACTCATACAAACAAGCATTTGTTTAATCGACCCTACCTGATAATATAAAAGGAAGTTGCAGGAATCTCTTGCATTTTTTGGTTCATGCAGGGGGCTAATGTCTTTTTCTTCTCTGACGTGGCAGCTGTCTTTGCTATAAAAAGTAAATTCACGCATATTGGCAAACAACCCTGTAATGAAAGCAGGACTCTCATGGCCAAAAAGGGTTCTGTCTTCCACCTTTCATGGCCCCATGGGTTTCTTCCTCATCCCTTGCATTTGACTTGTGCATGTATTCCTTGGGTGATTTTAATGAAACATCTCTTTTGATTAGAAAAAAGAAGGAATAATTAGGATGAGGAATAGGAAACCAAGGGATGACTTTTAACCATGGAATTAATGAGTTTTTCTAAATCATTTCAGAACTTATAATAAGAATTTCTAAAAGAAAATTATTCAAATTTCCTCTGTACTTTTTGAAACTGGTTAAAACTTTGAGAGAATTCCCGATTAGTAACTTGTACTTTGGGCCTAGTACCACTTTGGTCTCTGAGCTTTAAAACATGATAATTTAGTAGTTGAACTTTCAAAACATGCTAATCCAATATTTGCCATTAACCAGCCGTTAAGTATCATTTGAAAACAAACAAATACCCTTTGAGTGTCATCTAATTTTCTTTATCAACCATCCAAATGTTGATAAAAAATGAACAGTCCCAAATCCTTGCCTTTTCTATTCAAGAAAGTTGGGGTCACTAGAATGCCCAATAAGATGATCCCAACTCTTGAATAGAAGAGGTAAGGATTTGGGACTGTTCATTTTTTATGAATATTTGGATGGTTGATAAAGAGAATTATATAACATTCAAAGGGCATTTATGTCTTTTCAAATACCACTTAATGGCTGGTTAACGATAGGGGTGCTCACGGTTTAGTTAACCAAACCGTGGTGGGCATTTTTTTAACCGAACCAGTACTACCAGTTTTTGGAAAACTGGTAACGAACTGAATTGAAGCCAATTGATTAACAGGTTGACCGGCTCAGTTTGTCAATTTTTCAGCTTTTTGATTTTTACAGTATATTATAAAAATATAATAAAAAATTATAAATATATACAAAATATTATATTTTAAATAATAAATAATATATCATATATTATAAATATATATTTATATATAATGAATGTTTATTAATTTATAATATATAAAATATATAATATACATAAATATATATAAAAATTATATGTATACTGGTCGGTTTGGTTAATCGCCGATTTTCTATATTGGTTAACCAAAACCGAACTGGTACCTTTGGTAACCAATTTTTCGATTCAGTTTTGGTCGATTCGCTTTTTCGGTTTTTCAGTTTTTTTTTTCTCTATGGGTTGGTTAATGACAGGTAATAGATTGACACATTTTAAAAGTTTGGATACTGAATTGTCGCGTTTTAAAATTCGGAGACCAAAGTGGCACTAGGCACAAATTACAGGGTACTAATTGGGAAATTTCTCTAAAACTTTACATACTTTCCAAAAATAAGGTTAGCATGCTCTCTTGTTAGAGAATATTAAGATACAAGCAAAAATTGTATAATGATAAGAAAATCATTATATGTGGACTTTCTACATTTTTAATCCTTTATAATCAATACTTTTGAACATGGGTAAAGATAAAAGGCATTTTTTTATGGGATATAGGATGTTAAAGCCTATTTCTTCAATGTAGGGCTAGTTTTGTGTGGTTTTAAAAAGTATAGAGGAATTTGAGTTATTTTTCCTTTTTTATTATGGGCCCGTTTGAGAGGACTAAGTTGAAACTAAGCTTTGGTTCAAGTAAGCTGATTTTTTAAGAATCTGCCTTTATTCAGTTGCATAAATAGAGCCCATTTGAAAGGGCTTCAGCTTTGATTGAACTACTTTGAATAAGTTACCAAAACTAGTTTCACCATAAATTCGATTCCTTCTAGGCTTTCTGGGTGGGACCCACCTTGCAAAGCCAATAGATGTTGTGTTAAAGCCCTCCACTCCCAAATAGGCATATTGTTGATAATTCATCCCCCTGAGAAGCCTGAGAAATCAGAGAAATCATTAGCAAGTCACACCCGATAAGCTATTCAAAGAAGCTGAAGAGGACAATCCATTATTAAAAGGGTCATTCTTGTCTCATTCAAGTTTTGGCAACTTTCCTCATATGTGGGAAAGTTATTTACCCATCTAGGAGATGGGTATCGTTTACTTGGCTAAGTGATATCCTGGAAAATAAACTTTCCCTGGTCCCCACATAAATCTAAAAAAAGAACATGGGATTCTTGGTCAATGGGAACTAAAATCCCATTGACCAACTTCCCCCCTTTCAGAATCCAAAAAAAGAACGCTTCCTTAGGGTAAATTATAGATAGGTACCTTGTACTTTGGGGGTATAATGGAAGATAGGTATCTTAAACTTTCAATTGCAACACTTGAATACCTTGAACTTTCAAAAATAAACATTTGGGTCCATCAGTTAGTATTCTGTCAAATAAACATTATATAATGTCAAGAATACCCTTCTCATGTATTTTTGAGATCATTCTACAGGATAAAATCATCACCAGAGAATGTTGTTGTTAGAAAGTTTGAATATGTTATTTGTTGTCCATGTGAGAACATCATTGTGCGGAGATGTTTGGTTACCTGAGAATGATCTTAGAAATACATGAGAAGGGTATTTTTGACATTATGTAATGTTTAATTGAAGGAATACTAACGGATGAACCTAAGTGTCTATTTTTAGAGTTCAGGGTACTCAAGTGTTGCAATTGAAAGTTCATGATGCCTATCTATCACTACCCCCAAAGTATAGGGTACCTATCTGTAATTTACCCTTATACTTAAAAAAAAGTTGACAAAAACAAATAGTACAATATATCTTATGCCCCATTTGGTTCATGGGAATAGAGGGCTGGAACTGGAATTCTATTCCAACTATTTGGTTGGGTGAAATTGGAATCCCACTCCTATTCTTGGTGGAATGATATTCCCCCATTTGAAGGAATGGCCATTCCCTCCCCCCTATCTAAACCAAAAAGACTATAGAAATAAACCATTCCAATTTTGATTCTATAGAATTTTAAATCCAATTCCGATTACAAACCGAACAGACATTTATTATGATCTCATCTCAAAATATCTTATAGATAGGGGTGAAACTCGAATTTGCTCAACCTTCAAATTAACATTTTACATTGCTTTGGGCTTAGGGATTTGGGCAGGTCCATTCAAATTTTAGCAAAAGCTTAACCCTAACCCGCCCAGGTCCATATATATATATATATATGTATGAAATTTTATCTTATATATTAGTGAAAATGCATTAACTATTATCCACTATATTTTGAAGCTTTATACTATGTCAATAATAATTTTGATAGCCATTTTGTAAGGGTAAGGGCCCCCTCACAAGATGAGAAAACTTCCCGGAGTTAACTGGTATTATAGAAGGGACATGGCATGCAAACGCTGCGGTGAGGTGAGGTGATGTTTCAAATCATTCCAAGTTTCTAGCTTGAGGTTAGGTGAGGGCCCTTGTTGGATCTGCTGCTAATTGTTTCTTGCTTTACGCTATCAAAATTATTACATACATACAGTGTAAAAATAAAGTACACAACCACTCACTCCATACAATCATCATTTAATATTATGGGGAAAAAGAAAACACTGCAAAGGAATTGAATTTTACGTCTTCCTATGGACATTTTCGTCAATTTGTCTATCAAAAGGACAACAGACCAGAACTATTGATTCCATTCCAGTGTTTTTAATGTCATGATCATAAATCATAATAGGCGATCGAAACAGTCACTCGAATCAGAATATCAAATAGAAAACACCAATGTGGGTCCCCCTGATTATTATTTTTATTAGGGCAAATTATTATTAGTATAATTTGTTGTAATAATAATGAGTAATGAGATCCGTCGATGTTAATGTGTGGCTCGCTGTACGCTCACATGCTTGTTGTGATTGGGTCTTCTTGATGTATTCATGTTGTCTCGTAAAATAATGCAAAGACGACAAAGTTGGTTACCAACCTCCTCCTGAGTCCTGAAGTCCTGAGCCCTCGCTTCACTCCTGACTCCTGAGCCAGCCGAGCCATGACTCAATGAGCCTCAACTCCCAAACTCTTTTGTCTTTTCCAAGCCGTGCCCCGGACGATTCCTAACCGGCTAATTCCGGTCAATCAGTCAGATTGGGTTGCAAAAGGCGTGACCGTACGGCGAAGGCAGGTCGTTTCTATGGCAGTTGGTAGGCATTTAGTGTGCTCTTGCTGTTCTCAGTGAGCAGAATTCCATCTGGAAAACCAAGGTGGGGAGGGAGGGAGAGAGAGAGAGAGTGAGCGAGTTTCAGGCATTCGAGCTGCTGCTCGATTTTCCCTCGCATGCAATTCGGATTTTGCGTGCTGGTTTCTCGTAGATCTACGATTCTACACTAGATTACAGCTCGAAATTCAGCTTCTCCCAGCTTGAATTTATTGTGTCGAAGGTTGTTTTCAGTGCCAGTCTACTGCATTTTGTGCGTTGTTGGTCAAATCGATGCTTTTATCTAAGAATCGGTGGATTCTGAAGAGGTGTTGTGTAAGTAAGATCATCTTTTCCTTTGCTAATTTTTGGACGCATGTGCTTCGGGGGCTTTGGATCTCGGGAATCCTTGCATTCTGTACCGAGTTTGGCTTCTAGGGTTTACTTGCTCCGATCGCTTCGATTGATTTTAAGTTTCTGTCAACTTCATGGATTTGTTTATCTTCCTTGGAGCGATTTATTAGTGGAATTCTTCAAGTTGTTTAAACTGGGATGGTAAAATAAGGGATTTTGGGTTTTGGACCTTTTAGTTTTAGTTAATGGTTATTGAGGGAAATTGTGTCAGAGGTTGATGATTGTTCTTTCTTTTTCTTTCAGCTAGAATTTCCATCTGGCGAGCTTCGATTTTGTTTTGTTTCAGATATATCACATGCCATTGCTTCCACGACATGAAATTTCAGGGTTTCAAATTGAGATTTTGATGGGTTGAAAACTAATTTCAGACAAAAATAAGATGTTATTTTCACTTCCAGTTCCAAATAACTTATAAATCTCAACGCTTTTCTCTTTCTTTCTTCTTCTTTTTTGCTCAATCGGATTAACTGAATCCATTTAATAGGATCAGCCAAGTCCGTGAATCGGAGGAATCATTCATGCATTTCGTTTTATGTTAAATGCAATGAAATTCCCTTGTAATAAGCATTGAAAACCTAATTGTTGTTTGTGGTTTTGTTTCAAGGGCTTCAGTTGGTGTCTTGGGTTCATTTGCGACTCAAGTTTTAGTTTTGGAAAGAACCTTCCAACTCAAAACGATGGGTTGCTGATCGGCAATTCAACCATATCATATGATTTACCAGTTCTGAACACTGGGGGTCGGATCATGGTGGTCGAGTCATTGGCGTTACTGCTCTTCTGATCAATTGAGAATATTTCATCTGCACAGTTGGGAGCTAACACAGTAGATCAAAAAAGATGCTGGAATGTTCTTCCCGTTTCCTGTCTCCCTTCCGCGAAGAAAGCGGTGATGAAGAGTTGTCTGTGCTTCCTCGGCACACGAAAGTCATTGTTACAGGGAACAACCGGACAAAATCTGTTCTAGTGGGTCTGCAAGGGGTTGTCAAAAAGGCTGTTGGACTCGGCGGTTGGCACTGGCTGGTATTTCTTCCGATCTTTCTCTATTTTTTCATGACAGCGAGATCTGTGTATCATTCTATTTGTTCATGACTTTGTCATGCATACCTAGTTTAGGGTTTTTGCTTCCCCTTGTAATTAGGGCAATTGCTTCTTTAAATTGGCCTATGGCTTCACTGGTAACTTAGAAAGATTGCTTGGTTGAGTAATGTGGTGGGTTTCTCATAATGATAAGGATCGTAACTGGATCTATGTTCATGAAATTTCTATCAACAATTATAAATTAGGGATTTATGGGTGAGAGAAAAAAATAGAGTTTTTCTAATAATCATGCGGGAAATTAGTTTGAAAGGCTGAGAAAAAGAGTATTATTTGTTTTTTTTTTTTTTTTTCTTGTTTTTGTCATTTGATCCTTGATTTAAATTAGGCTCACGAAGATTATTAGTCTGTGCAAAAGCAGTTCAGGGTGCAAACCCATCAGTCGTTTCTTTTCATGGGTGGAGTTCAATTTAATTACCGTTTTCTGTTTATTGTGGTGGATTAGTAAACTATTATGTATACTGAAATCTCAGGTTCTAAAGAATGGGGTCGAAGTTAAGCTACAAAGAAATGCTTTAAGCGTGCTGGAACCTCCTACTGGGAATGAAGAAGATGATGAAGATAATGACTTGGATAACTCTTACAGTAGCTCCGACATGGGCGAGAAGGAGCATGATTTATGTATGTTTTACTGTTTTATTCACAAGGATGGACATGAATGAATATTGGGTTAGGTCAAACATGTTCATGTTACTTATAACGGGGTTCTCCTCTAATTCTCTTTGTACAGCCAGTAGTATTGAGTTTCACAAACCAAGCAAGCCAAGAATTAGGCATGCACGGCCATGGATATCTTCATCAAAATCAACTAACCGGAGCAATTTCAGAGAAGTTCATGGGAACAGAAGCAACAGCAGAGAGGTTCAGTCAAATATTCACAAGCCTCATGTGGTAAGAATCTGAAAGCAGCAGTCAGTTTTTTTTTCCCTTTTATTTTTATGTAATAAGACCAGGCTTAACAAGATGAATATTTTGGATCAGAAAGTGAACTTGGCCAGACTAGGATCGAACTCATTGTGGAGATATTGTAGACGTTTTAACCTTGTGAGTTCTTTTGTTTATTTATTATTTACCAAATCACTCGGCTATGCAAAATCTTCATATCTTCTCTGGATGATAAGATTTACTTGAAAGTGGACATGTTTTACTTCAGATGAGCATGAACTCAAATCCATCCAAAGATCAAATGGTTGATGCTGTCCGAAGACACTTTTCATTGATGGTGGTTTCTCAATCCCATCCTATCTTGTATGTTTCAATTGATCTATCTATATAATATACAAGCTGATGAGGGTTTGTTTACTTTGAAATCTTGAACACAGCAAATGAACGAAGTTGATGTCATCGAGGAATTCATACAAGCAGCCAAGAGGTTGAAAGGAGTAGACATGTAGGAGGTGATTACAGAGATAACAACTCCATGATTTCCTCGTTTGTAATATAATATATATTTTATGTCTAACCTACAGAACAAACTCTGATTGGGCGAGCCCAATCCATCGTCTCAATTTTCTAACATTGTAATATATGGGCTACGATGAACCTTAGTTCTGTTTTTAATTTTGAGAATCAAATTTTGAGCAAGATTGGTCTCAAATCTCAAATCTCAAATCAAAATTGTACATGTTGGGTTTGAATTGAATCGGCATTACAAAATACGAACGATATGGAGTATAGCAGATAACCAAAACTAAACAAGGGTCTACCTGTTTTATTGCTTTTGTCAATCACTGAAATGATTTAGATCATGAGACAAACAGAATCATTGCTTTTGGATGCTTTTGGAAGCAGAAAACGGGCGAAGGCAATTCCCGTGGATTAGACCAATGTGTGCGGATATTTTTTCGCGGGTACTTTTGTGGAAATCGCCAGGCTGTCGGTAGGTGTCACGAGTTATGGTAGGACCTTAGACAGCTAAGGTGACGGTGACGAGTTGGGAGTGTTGGACTGAGGCGGGTATAATAGAATCCTAGGTCGTCATTCGTCAACGTCTCTCTCTCTTTCTCTATGTGTGGTGTGTGTACAATAATACTTACGTGCAACAAGGTTCACCAATGACGGGTTGGTCTCGCTGTTTCAGGTTTTAACTTTCAAAATTCAAATTCCAGACGGACGGAGATCCTCCGAAGTCATAACAGGAAGTGATTCTCTAATCACTATAACCAATCCCGGCCATGTATTAGGAACATCCCCTCATGGCGCCAATCTGAACATACATATGGGTGTGTGTGGGCATGCTGTAAAGGTACCCCCACTTCTAAGGTGTGCTGACAAGCATGGCCCCAATCATCAAATTGCTTCTTTGACTAACTTTCGAATCTGGAGCAAACAAAGCATTTGGAGTAGTTACTAACTTACTAATTAGCGTGTTGCTTGAAAAAGTGAAATTTCCCTTTTATTTCTCTGGTGTCCTCTGCATTCTGAAAATATTTCGCCAACTTCTCCCATTTCCCAATATTGTTTCTGATCTCCTTCCGCCGCATTACACATAAAATATCGACGACTCAAAATTTCCTCTGCATAGAGGGATTTACGGTGAATGAATAGCTTTCTCAATAAATTTTGTTTTTGGTAGTCTAAATTGAGTCGCGTCAACTCAATTGAAAAAGAAAAAATAAAAAACAACAAATGGTAAACTATTTTTTTTTTTTTTTACCAACTGGATTCTTCTTTCAATGGCATGATCTGAACTCCTTTTAAGAATTTAGACAATGCCAAAAAGTTTTTTATTTTCTAATATATTAAAGGGTTTTTAAACATAGGACAGGTCAATGATATTGGATTGACAATATTTGACAATACATATAAAGATGGTATAAATTAAGTTCGTGATCTATCAAAATTATATCGACTAGTTTAATACATTAATAAATGTGCCAGGTTTAAATTGACCCGCTTAACTCGAAAATAACTTGTTTATGACCTAAGTTCAATCAGACATGTCATACCGGATACAAATTATCGGGACTGGATCTAATAGGCACAACAAAGTAAGTACATTAAATAAGCACTTGATAAATATTTTGATAACTGTCAAAAGTGGATATTAATCCTTTTTAAGGGTGGGGTGATGGTATTATAAAGGACAGGTGTCAAAAAAATTTCTAGTGCTCATCCCGACCGCAAATTACCACCCTAATGATATGTTGCCTTAAGAGATGGATGTAATAGTGTTTTTACAATGTCCCAAAGGGATCAACTATTTAAAGTCAATGATGGGTGCATGGATTAGGCCTCTAAACCGGTTTGATCACGATTGCACCCACCAACATCGGGTTGCTATTTCAATAGCAAAACCACCTAACAATTTCATTACAAAATGACAATCCTTTTTTGACGCAATTACAAAATGACAATCTATGTATTTTGGTTTTGATGAGGGGCATTTTGGTCATCCCACGCAAATACCTATACGTGCACGCTGTTGATGACATAGTATCTGAGTCCGCAAGATAGCTCGACAGGTTAACACGTAGCAACCAGCACCAGGTGTGCCGTTGAACTGGGGCGAGCTCAGCCTACCGACAACTCAAGCTCATCCAAAACCGCTCCGCGCACCGCTCCCACACAAGTACCGTTACTGCGGCTATGGGAATAGCTCGCCAAACTGTGCGCCACAAGACCCGCGGGCGACCTGTAACGCCGCGCGAATCTAGCAACTAACACTCTAGCACACCTTAAACTGTGGAAACAACTTTGCAGAAGACTCAGAGATGTTGCCTGATGGCAACCGAACCTTAGACAAATCCATCCTAAAAGGTATGCACACAAAAGCTCTTGAACTCTCTCACATATTCTCACAGAAACCCCTATTCTGACTTAAGCATCAAAGTGTTCTCTTGGGTAAAACCTACCCAGGCACTCTAATATTTCCTTCTTTACAGCTCTTCCAGCTCGGACATACAGTTACTAGCTCGACAGTACAACTCGGCACCGCCAGATCAGAACCTATTTCAGGCCCAATTACTGATATGAAAGAATGAGCAGATTGTGCATCATCAATTGACACCGTCTGTGGGAAACACAGCGGAAAGCTACTGTTTCTTTCTTTCATTTCTTCTCTTCTTTCGTCTTCTCTGAAAAATCACCCTCAACGGCATCCTCAAACCACCCTTCTGCCAATAACAACATCAATGGCCAAATCCCAACTATCACAATAGGCCAGATCGATGTTCCTTTCCCACCGGCCGAAGTACAAGACAATGCAAATATGCCACCTCTAGCCACGGATCCCACAACACCTCTCACGACAGTCAATGTGCAATAATTCAACGACCTAGTGCGGTGTGTGCACACCATGACTGAGTAGATTAGGTCAAGGGAGAATAGATTCATCTTTATTGTTGGGCAGCAGTAGCAACAACAATTCCAATAGCAACAACAACAACAATATCAACAGCAGCGGCACCCTGTAGTGTCGAATCAGCCAATACCATGGGATGGTCAGCAGGCACCGCATAATAATTAGTCGTGCAAAAATCAACAACAACCACTTAATAGCTAACGAATCCCAACCAATGATCAATAGGTCCCACACAACAACCAGGAGGTTCCGAGGAGCAGCCAGCAGCTGCCTCCTCAAAACAAGGGCCTGAATCAAGAAGACCCACTTCGCCCATGGGTATGTAGTTAGATTTAGGTCCCAAACAGAGTGGATGCAGCAGCCCGGAATGATCAGGCCCCCACAGAGAGCCAAGCTGAGGTTCCTGTCGGGACCAATGTCACCAATTCCACCAAATGCAATAGGAGGAAGAGAAAGAAGCAAACGCACCGCGCAGGAAGAAAGGTCCAGCTCGCCTACACAAGCAACGAGGCCCAACATGGGGAGAATAGCATTGTGACCAACAAGATGGTCTCCCTCTTAGAACCACCCAGCCTGACAGGTGAAACCCCACTAGCACCTGAAATTCTTAAAGCACCGCATCCTAAGAACTTCCGAGCCCCAACTTTGGAGTCCTACAGGAGAAAGACAGACCTAGTGGAGCATGCAAGCAACTTTCAGGCCCTTATGCTCCTCCATGGAGCAAATGATGTCAGTATGTGCATAGCATTTCCTACCACCCTGAAAGAGGAAGCTTGGCTTTGGTATTCCAAGCTGACTCTTGGTTCCATAAAAATTGGGATTAGTTCTCCAAGCTCTTCATTAACTAATTCGCTACCAGCAAGAGACACTCCAAATCAACGACCTGCTTGTTCAACGTTGTCCAGAAGTCAAATGAGATGCCTAGGGAATATATTTGGAGGTTCAACATGGAGAATCTACAGATCCCGGACCTGGATCCCGCTGTGCAACTTATAGCAATAAAGAAGGGTGTGATGGCAAGCTGAAATGGGAGCTCAAACTGCACCCTTCAGCCACCATGGAAAAATTTCTTGACATAGCACACCACTTCATCAAGGTGGAGGAAGCAGTGGGGATAGAGTCTGACACAGCAGAAAAGAGAAGGTGCATTGAAGAAGAAGCGAGCACAAGTAGAACCAAGCGAAGGAGTAAGTCACCAAAGAGGAGTAGATCGCTAAGGAAAAGGCGTAGCAGCTCGCCGCGCCACAAGAGCAAGTCGCCGGTCAGAGGATCAGGTTGACGATCAACAACGCCGCCGACATACACCAGAGTGTTTACCCCATTGAATACTAAGAGGAAGGAGATCTTGATGCAAATCCAGTCCAACGATTACATGAAATGGCCACCTAAGATGAGGGGGATCCTATTACTCGAAACCCAAATAAATATTGCCATTCTCACAAAGATGTCGGACATGATACTAAAAACTATTGGAATTTGAAGAATGAAAATGAAGACCTCATCAAAAGAGGCTATTTGAGGCGCTTCATCAAAGATGAACGACAACCCAAAGCATGAACTAGCAGGGAGACGCCCTAGAGTAGTAGACAACTGGAGCCAGCTCCCCAAAACCAACAATCACAAGAGAGGCAGGTCCAAGGGACCATAAATGTAATCATTGGAGGCTCAACAGTAGCAGGCTGCACCACATCAGTAGGAAAGAACGCGGTGAGAGAATTAGAGCAAGAGGATAGCCAACCGTGCAAGCACCCCCGAAAGGAGGAGATAATTTATTTTACAGAGGATGATATACGGGGGGTCCAGCACCCCCACGACGACGCCCTGGTAGTAAAGCTACTGATAAATGACTTTAGAGTGAAGAGGATTTTAGTGGATTCAAGTAGCTTGGTAAACATTTTGTTCGCAGAAGCCTTCAAGAGAATGGAACTTAGTAAAGCTGATCTGCAGCCCGCTGACATACCATTGGTGGGATTCAGTGGCGAGGTAGTTTGCCCGATTGGCAGGGTAAGAGTGCCGGTTGAGGCAGGCTTGCCGCCCCACATGGTGCGATTTGAACATGATTTCCTAGTGGTTGCCTCCTTGTTGCCTTACAACCGATCTTGGAACGACCTATCCTACATGCACTGCGAGCAGTAGTATCAACATATCACCTCGCGCTAAAGTTTCCAACAAACATGGGTATAGGGGTGTTACGCGGAGACCAGCTAGAATCTAGAAAATGTTATGTAGCATCCCTGAAATCAAAGGGAAAGATTGCCACAGAGATTGACCTGGAACCACCGCCGGAAAACACA